TCATATTGTGGGTTTTTCACCCCCAAAAAACAGGGGTTTTTATGACAATAAAGCCATAAAAACCTAAAAAATATTTAAAAAATAATGAAAAACTTTATATCTGTGGTTAGGTCTGAAGTTGTTTAAAAGATCTGATGTGAAAAAAATCAGAAAAAAAATTCATATATGATATTGCTATATCACCTTTTGTCAGGGGACCATTTTGGGTACGAAGGGAAAGGTGGGTATAAATTTTGAGGGATGCTCAAGGTTAAAGGCACTGGAGAAATCAAAGAACATGATTCTCACAGTGCTCCCAGCGGTCTCCAGGTGAGCGAGGGAACGATGCACGAGGTGAATGACTGGCATCATCCGCTCCAATGCCAGGCTGGTAGGCAAACTGAAGTGGGTCCAGTGATGAGCTCACCAGGCGCCAAAGCTGAGCGAGGACCAGCCGCTCCAGGATCTTCATCAGGTGAGCAGGTTAGTGTGAGAGGTTAATGTTAATATAATAACACTTCATTAAATGTCCACGAACTGCTTAAAAAAATAATAAAAACAAACGGAGGGGGAAAACCCAAGCCATATCGTAAATAAGTCACTATCCAACATTAACCTATGTAATAGTGATGGGATTTCCGGCTCTTTTTAGAGATCCGGCTCTTTCGGTTCGGCTCACTAAAAAGAGCCGGCTCTTTCGGCTCCGAACCGGCTCTTCAGGTTGTTTTGTTGCTTTAATTAATTTATTATTAACAATAATATAAAATTATGCACAAAAGGAATTACTAACGTAAAAAAAAGTGGTTTTATTTATATATGTTTATATATAAATATATGCGGTGGCCCCTAGAGACAAAACACGTACAAACTCCAAAACACATTTCTAGCATGAACTGAACTTCCAAAGCAGAGCTACTAGATCACTTAAATTACACAATTGAAAGCATGTGTGTATTGTTTGTGTATTTATACACAGGCACTCATATATATTCAAATAATTTTAAAAAAAGTTCATTTACCTGTTACTACCACACACCAAATCCGGTCGTTGGTACTTGCTGGCTTGTGTAGCCACAAGATAACAAAAGCTCAACACTGCGCCCAGCATCCTGGAGCACTTCTGTTGTCTTTTGTACGTGTTTTGAGTTTTTATGTGCTTCTGAGTTTTTATCGTGCTTCGAGTTTTTACGTGCTTCGGAGTTTGGTAGTTTAAGTTTTTACGTGTTTTGGAGTTTGTACGTGTTTTTACGTGTTTTGGAGTTTGTACATGCTTCAGAGTTCTGTACGTGATTTGAAGTTTGTATGTGCTTTGTCTCTAGGGGCCACCGTAAATATACTTTTATTTATTCACTCCACATAAAATGTAATAAATAAATCATATAATACATACTATTTAAATTTTCAGCTTTTTCCTTTTACAAATTTAAAGTGAAACAACACAAAACACTGCAAACCACAACACAATTAAATATAAATTAAAATATGAAAACAAAGAAGATGCATATTCTCTGTCATATGGGCCTGCATGAATAAACTTTCTGAATCCTTTATCATCTGCAACCGAAAATAGTTGTGGATGATTACTATACCTTTCTAATGTGACGTTGTTGTCCCTGGCTCTCTTTCTCTCTCTCCCTCTGGCTCTGTTCCTGTGCTACTGGTTGTTGTCCCTGGCTCTCTTTCTCTCTCTCTCCCTCTGGCTCTGTTCGTGTGCTACTGAGTGTAACTACCGCCCCTCCCCCCTCTGCCTAGCATAAACCACAAGGCTGGCGTGCAGAGTGAAGCGGGGAAAAAAGTGCGAGAGAGAGGGTGAGAGAAAGAAAAAAAAAACACGTGACGGCTCGCGATAAGGAGTCGGCTCACGTTGTTCACTTCAAAGAACCGGCTCTAAGAGCCATTTTGTTTGCGAACGACCCATCACTACTATGTAAGTGATATTGCTGTTAACCTAGCTGAGGTCAACTTTGTCTAAGATAGAGCTGCTAAATAGCATTCATTCACTCATTCATGTCCACTGAATTGCTTTTTCCTGCATGGTGATTATCATTATAGTTGGCCTTGGTGTTTAGGCCAAAAGGAAGAGCAGAGGTTACGTCATCACTCCACGGTATTGTAGGATTGTGTCGGAATCCTCTGTTGTTTCAGGTTAGCCAACAAGGCAAAAGAAAAACTTTTTTTTCTGACAAGCTGCAAGTCACAAAGTGCCTAAAGATACAATTTAAAACGGGTTAATTACTAAGCTGATTGTTTAGCAACTTTATAGACTCAGCACTGTTTTAGTCATTCAGTTTAGTGCCTTTTTATGCTTGAATGGCTCATGGGTCAGTGTTAAGTGGTTTAACAAACAAGCAAACAGAAAAAAAACAACATTCCTCTCAAAATAATCAGTTACAAGGACTGATGAAGGAGACCTTTTGTATTAGCAGAATTATACACATATGTAAAATAAAAGGTAAAAAGAACAAGCAAATGAGATATTGAGAAATTTTAGTGCCTAGTGGAACACTATCATTTAGGAACACAAAAAAATCCATGGCAATCAGTCTGCTGCTATGAACGCAGAGGAGGTTACTGGGTCATTGTCAAACTTTATTTATATATCTCATGATCCAGTCCTTCTCTTCCTGCCCTCACAGGCTGAGCTCATGTTCTGTCAGATTTAATGAGGTTGTTGAAGGTTGAGTGATGGACCAGAGCAGAACAACAGAGAGGCTGCATCCAGTTCCACTGCTTAACACCAACTAAAGAACTTCTGACAAACGAGTGCTTTCCTTCATTCCAATGAAGAATGCCACTTCTGGGTAACTCGCAGTTATACAGGAGTGACTGTGAGGTATCTAGTGCCAGCGAAAGCAAAAAACCCTAAATCACAACCATAAAATTTCCACTTTTCTCTGTGCCAGTCATGAATATTTTTTACTCTGGTCAGCAACTAATCCATTTTACCCAAAGTTCAGATTTTTGTCAAGTTTGTCATCCTCAAATATAGATGCTATCTTTCTGGAGGTACTCATAGACAGTTGCCACTGTTGTATGCAGTTATATGTGTAAGTGCATGTAACTGTGTTTAAGCTGCTGGGGGAATTAGTGTT